GGGGGCTCTGTGGGGGGGTGAGGCAAGGGGGCTGGGGGCTCAGTGGGGGTTGGCAGGGGACTCAGTGGGGGTTGGCAGGGGGCTCTGTGGGGGTCGGCATGGGGCAGGGGGCTCTGTGGGGGGTGAGGCAAGGGAGCTGGGGGCTCAGTGGGGGTCGGCATGGGGCAGGGGGATCAGTGGGGTGAGGCAGGCGGCTGGGGACCAGCAGGGGGCAGGAGGCTCCGGCAGTTACTGAGACGGTTCCCATCCCCCGGAGTCAGTCCCTCGGGATCCCAGGCCCAGTGCTGGGGGGCAGGGGGCTCAGTAGGGGTTGGTGGGGGGAAGGGTCTCAGTGGAGTGAGGCGGGGGCTCAGTGGGGGTTGGGCAGGGGGGCAGGGGGCTCAGGCAGTTACCAAGGACGTTCCCATCCCCCAGAGTCAGTCCCTCGGGGTCACAAGTCCAGTGCAGTGGTTGTGTCACCCCCCTAGCCATACCCTGTCCCCATTCACCCTCGTGCCCCCCCAAGAGTTGGTGCCATCCCCACAGCTGTCCTTGGGCTGCCATGCCCAGCTCTGACCCCAGCACGTCCCTGCTCCCCCCTCCCCCCCGCAGGGGAGCAGACCCCATTGCTGGATCCTCCCCCACAAATAACTCCACAGCTAAAGCTGCCATGGGGGGTTAGAGCAGGGACACACCTACCCTATGGGTGCCGGATGAGGGGGTAACAGAGCCCAGGGCCTCATGGGGCATGGGGGCAGCACAGCAGATGGGGTGCCCCTCTCCTGGCCCCAGAGTAACAGTGGAGACCCCTAGGGAGACAAGCCAGGACTCCTGGGTTCTGACCCAGCTCTTGGAGAGGAGTGGGGTCTAGTGGTTAGAGCAGGGAGGCTGGGAGCCAGGACACCTGGGTTCTCTCCCTGGCTCTGGGAGGGAAGTGGGGGCTAGTGGTTATAATGGGGGGGGGGCCGGAGCCAGGACTCCTGGCTTCTCTCCCTGGCTCTGCCCCCGTGTGACCTTGGGCGTGTGCGTGCCCCCCCCCACACACACTTTGGGTAGTAATTGGGGCTGAGCGCCCCCCGCAGGGTAAGGCGCTTTGCTTGCGGTGCTGCCAGGAGTTATTACTATGATTTATAAATCCCCCACTCACGTCTCCTGCAGCTGGGCTGATCCAGCCAACGGGCTGCGCGTGACCCCCGGGTGCCCCCTGGCCGTGCCCAGGCCATACGTCACTCTCCCCCATAGGGTGCCCCCAGCTGACTCCACCACACTCAGCCCCACGGCGCCCCACCCCACATTGGCACGCAGGCTGCAGAGCCCACTGGGCGATGCCTGCCCCAGCAGCACCTTCCATCTCCCAGCCCCGGCTAATGTAGCTCGACAGGGGCATGCCGTGACCCAGCACCTGGCACCATCTGCTCTGCCGGGCGCTGAGGAGGCTGGTTAATTAGTGCGAGGGGGTTAGCGAGGCCACCGCGCCCTCCCCCCATCCGACCTGATCCCCGCAGCTCCACCTGGGACGTGCCCAAGGTCACAGGGGAGACGGGGGCACCATAGAACCCAGGAGTCCGGCCTTCCACTGGCCTGTCTACCTGCTAGATCCCCTCCTCTCCCCGAGCTGGGGAGAGAACCCAGGAGTCCTGGCTCCCAGGCCCCCACCCACGGCCGCTCCTGCTCACACACACACACTGCTTCCACCCCATCCCCAGAGTCAGCAACCCCCCGACCCCGGCACCGTGGCTGCGCTGAGACACGGCCCAACGGGGCAGATGCCCCCCATGGTGGGCAACTGCCGGGACACATGGGGCCGGCTAAGCTGCTACCAGCACGACCGCCAATGACCTACATTCGGCTCTGCCACCCTGTTTCCATGGCAGCAGGGAGCGGGCATGCCAGAGGAGGGGGAGGAAATGAAGGCTTGCCCCACAGTGCCCCCGAGAGACCCCTCTTCCACCCCCGCCTGCCCCATGGTGCCCCCGAGAGACCCTCTTCCAACCCCGCCTGCCCCATGGTGCCCCCGAGAGACCCACCCCACCCCCGCCTGCCCCACGGTTCCCCCTAGAGACCCCTCTTCCACCCCCACCGGCCTCACAGTGACCCCCAGGGACACCCCCTCCAGCCCTGCCTGCCCCCTGGTGTCTCAGAGAGACACTCCTTCACCCCCTACCCCTACAGAGCGACTGCAGCCCTTGCCAGCCCCCCAGGTTCGGTCTGGTGGGGCCAAGCAGAGCTGGGGCGTGTGGGCCGGGTGGCCGCGGGGCAGGAGGGCGCGGTGCTGCTGACTCAGCCCCGGCCTCATTAGCTGCGGAGAAAGGAGCTGCCGGGCAGCCAGGCGGGAGTAACGGGGAGGCCAGGAAGGGGGTGCGGGCACATGGTGGGCATTAACCCCTCAGTGGCCCGGGTGGAAACACTCTCCCTCCCCCCACCCTCCATTAACCCCTCACTGTCCCTCCCCCACGACTAACCGAGACCCTGGCAATTCAGGCCCGTCACCCACCCAGCCCCAGAGGTGGTGGCAACTGGATACGCCCTGATTCCCAGCCAGGGCCTTCCCCCGACACACACGTATAGTGGGGCTCAATCCCTGGCGTCCTGAGCCCCAGCCCAGGGCTTTAACCGCACAGCCTGGCTCATGGCTGGGGGAGGGGGCGGGCACAGTGATGGGGGGCGTTTGCATCAGCTCCAAAGGGCGCCAGGCTCCAGCCCCCTGCAATTGTGGCTCATCAGCATCCCGCCCCTGCCCTGTGACCTCCCTTCCCGCTCCCCGCAGCTCTGCGGCTGCCCCTTATCTGCAACCTGCAGCCCTAACCGACTGGTGGGGCGTCCGCACCTCCCAAGCAGCCTGGCTTTGGGATGAGAGGGATCCCGGCCTGCCCCCCCCTCGCCAAACCTGCAGGTCTGAGTCCCCTCTTATCAGTCCTAGAGCTCGCTCAGCAGCGCCCACCAGCAGATCGCAGAGCGCCTTACCGAGGTCGGTTATTCCCCATTGTACAGATGGGGAAACTGAGGCAGGGGTGGCTCACCCACTGTCACCCAGCGGGTTAATCCCAGTCCTGTGCTCTCTCCCCTAGGCCACACTGCCTCTCACTAAACTATGATTATTATTATTATTATGGTATTAGGTGTATTATGGTAGTACCTAGGAGCCCCAGTCATGGCCCCCATGGTGCCAGGCACTGTACATTATTTATTAGGGGTATTACAGTAGTGCCTAAGAGCTCCAGTCATGGCCCAGGACCCCACTGCGCTAGGCACTGTACATTATTTATTAGGTGTATTACGGTAGAAGTAGGATCTCTCCTCCCCACCAACAGCCTGATCATGGCCCAGGACCTCACAGTCAGGGAACACGGGCACATGGAGGGACCCCACTGCACGGGGCAATAAGATCCTATGTAGAGCACCCATTGCAGCGCCTGACTCCCCATTCCCACCACCCCTGGCAATGGGGCATCTCCAACTTCGCCCGGTGCCAGCCCTCTGCTGCCCTCGCGTGGCCCTGGCCTGCTCCAAGCGCAGCTCCCCGAGCCTGTCGCTCTCCCTGTGCCACAGCTCCCCCAGCCCCACATGGGCACCATGCCGGACCCCCGGACAGGCTGCAGGAGGTGGGGTGTGTCTGGCTAATCTAACCCACCCGCCAGCCCTCCCCATAGGCACTCCTTGCAGATAAGGGTCTGACTGGAGGGAGGCATGTGGAGGAGGGAGGGAAGGGGAGGGACGAGATAAGAGGGAGCTTATTGGTTTCCCAGCCTCTTGGTTCAGCTTTTAGGGAGGTGGGCACAAAGGATACTGGGCTAGATAGGCCTTGGGTCTGATCCAGGCGTCAGGGAGGGGGCGGGATACCAGGGTAGATGGGCCCATGGCTGAGAGCCAGGCAGGTTCCCCGCCCCATTTAATGACCTCTCACTGTCTTCACAGCGTGAGTGAGAACGGGGAGGAGTCGTGCAAGGAGCTGATGGAATCGTACCACGAGTGTCTCCGTGCTCTGGGCATCAAGGTCTAGCAGCCCCCCCCCACGGTGAGTTCCCCTCCCCCAGCCTCATGGGGAGGGCAGGGGGAGCCCAGGGCTGGGATAGCGGGCAGCGGGGGGGGGGGAGGGAGTGCTATGCCCCCCACCCTGCACCACTCCCCTAAGCCCCTGCTTTAACTCAGCTGCCTCCCTGGGCAGCCCCCGAGGAGCACAGCCCCAGCCCAGAGCCACACCCCCACAGCTGGGTCCCCTCTCAGCCCATGCTTGAGTCTGGCTTGGCCTCCCCACAGCAACCCCCTGCACCCCAGTGGGTTCGGGCCCCCGCAACAGTTGCCAGCCAACCATCTCCCGGGTGATGGCACTGGAGGTACCCAGGTGCTGGAGCTGGTTGGCACGTGGCTGCTGGTCCCATTGGCCGCACAGAGCAAGCGCCAGGTTTGCAAGTGACCATTTTTAAGTTAAAGGGACAACATGTTTTTGACTTAACTTTTTTAATCGTAAGAGGCAGCTACACACACACACACTCCCTGGTTCACATCCACACCTCCTGGTTCAAACCTACAACCTCCCTGATTCACATCATAGAATCATAAAATATCAGAGTTGGAAGGGACCTCAGGAGGTCATCTAGTCCAACCCCCTGCTCAAAGCAGGACCAATCCCCAACTAAATCATCCCAGCCAGGGCTTTGTCAAGCCTGACCTTAAAAACCTCTAAGGAAGGAGATTGCACCATCTCCCTAGGTAACCCATTCCACTGCTTCACCACCCACCTAGTGAAAAAGTTTTTTCTAACTGTCACGGAGTATTGGGGAACTCAGGGCCCTGCACCCCCGGCTTCCTGCGATTCACCATGACTCTCAGCCAGCCAGTAAAGCAGAAGGTTTATTTGGATGACAGGAATACAGTCCAAGACAGGTCTTGCAGGCACAGACAACAGGGCCCCCTCAATTAGGTCCAGCTTGGGGTCCCAGGGCATCCCAGCCCCCCCCCCCTTTCGGGGGGGTCAGAGCCATCTCTGCCTCCCAGCCATCTCTCCAGCCCGCTTCCAACACTCTGCCTTCAGCGACCCCTCCCACAGCCTTTGTTCAGTTTCCCGGGCCAAGGAGTCACCTGGCCTCCAACCCCTTCCTGGGTTCTCATGTTACACGCTCAGGTATTCACCTTCGGGCAGACTCCCATTCCCCAATGCAGACTATCCTAGCCACACTCCCCTGTCAGCATTCACACACCACAGTAAGAACAGTCCCAGTTCGTCACACTAACATCCAACCTAAACCTCCCCCACTGCAACTTAAGACCATTGCTCCTTGTTCTGTCATCTGGTACCACTGAGAACAGTCTAGATTCATCCTCTTTGGAACCCCCTTCAGGTAGTTGAAAGCAGCTATCAAATCCCCCCTTGTTCTTCTCTTCTGCAGACTAAACGATCCCAGTTCCCTCAGCCTCTCCTCATAACTCTCATGCTCCAGTCCCCTAATCATTTTTGCTGCCCTCCGCTGGACTCTTTCCAATTTTTCCACATCCTTTTTGGAGTGTGGGGCCCAAAACTGGACACGGTACTCCAGGTGAGGCCTCACCAATGTCGAATAGAGGGGAACGATCACGTCCCTCGATCTGCTGGCAGTGCCCCTACTTATACAGCCCAAAATGCCGTTAGCCTTCTTGGCAACAAGGGCACACTGTTGACTCATATCCAGCTTCTCGTCCACTGTAACCCCTAGGTCCTTTTCTGCAGAACTGCTGCCTAGCCACTCGGTCCCTAGTATGTAACAGTGAATGGGATTCTTCTGTCCTAAGTGCAGGACTCTGCACTTGTCCTTGTTGAACCTCATCAGGTTTCTTTTGGCCCAATCCTCTAATTTGTCTAGGTCTCTCTGTATCCTATCCCTACCCTCCAGCGTATCTATGACTCCTCCCAATTTAGTGTCATCTGCAACTTGCTGAGAGTGCAGTCCACACCATCCTCCAGATCATTAATGAAGATATTGAACAAAACCGGCCCCAGACCAACCCCTGGGGCACTCCGCTTGAAACCGGCTGCCAACTAGACATGGAGCCGTTGATCGCTACCCGTTGAGCCCGACAATCTAGCCAGCTTTCTATCCACCTTATAGTCCATTCATCCAGCCCATACTTCTTTAACTTCCTGGCAAGAATACTGTGGGAGACCGTATCAAAAGCTTTGCTAAAAATCAAGGAATAACACATCCACTGCTTTCCCCTCATCCACAGACCTAGTTATCACCTCATAGAAGGCAATTAGGTTAGTCAGGCATGACTTGCCCTTGGTGAATCCATGCTGACTGTTCCTGATCACTTTTCTCTCCTCTAAGTGCTTCAGAATTGATTCCTTGAGGACCTGCTCCATGATTTTTCCAGGGACTGAGGTGAGGCTGACTGGCCTGTAGTTCCCCAGATCCTCCTCCTTCCCTTTTTTAAAGATGTGCACTACATTAGCCTTTTTCCAGTCATCTGGGACCTCCCCCGATCGCCATGAGTTTTCAAAGACAATGGCCAATGGCTCTGCAATCACATTCGCCAACTCCTTTAGCACCCTCGGATGCAGCGCATCTGGCCCCATGGACTTGTGCACGTCCAGTTTTTCTAAATAGTCCCGAACCACTTCTTTCTCCACAGAGGGCTGGTCACCTTCTCCCCGTACTGTGCTGCCCAGTGCAGCAGTCTGGGAGCTGACCTTGTTCGTGAAGACAGAGACAAAAAAAAAGCATTGAGTACATTAGCTTTTTCCACAACCTCTGTCACTAGGTTGCCTCCCTCATTCAGTAAGGGGCCCACACTTTCCTTGACTTTCTTCTTGTTGCTAACATCCACTCCCGTGTTCAATTTACACCCCTGGTTCACACCTACCTTTCCTGGTCCATATCCACACACCCCCATTCACATCCACACTCCCTGGTTCAAACCTACAACCTCCCTGATTCACATCCACTCCCCTGGGTTCAATTTACACCCCTGGTTCACACCTACCTTTTCTGGTCCATATCCACACACCCCCATTCACCTCTACACCCCATCATTCACATCCACACTTCCTGGTTCAATTTACACCCCCTGGTTGACATTTACAACCTTCCCTAGTTCACACTCACACACTCCTACATCACATCCATACCCCCTAGTTCACATCCTCTCCCCCCCCCCCCCCCCCCCCCCGGTTCACATTCACATGGTGTGGAAGTGCAGATAAGGAAAAGACAGTTGGAGTCCTCATGCACGTGTATAAGGTGTTTGATGTAGTCAGAGGAACCCCACCGTCCAGCTCCAGGCACCAGATTCCTGTGCATTTACAGACTCGTTTCGGGGCAGAAATGGATTTTTTGTCTCACGCTGATTATTTTGTTCCCCCATTTTCCATCCCAAACTCCTTCCGATGGGGAGCATCTCCAGCCCACGGTCAATTTTTGCCCCGCTGTGTTTAAAGGGAGTTTGGAAATGGAGCTCCAGGCCGGGGGCAGAGGGAAGCAGGGGGCCTGGCTCTGATGGCCACTCCAAGCCAGTGGCAGTCAGACATGGGGAACATGAAGGGACCCAGGGCCGTTCCCCTCCCCTCACCAGGCTGAGCAGTTGCTCCTCTCTTGCAGGCGCTGGCGTGGCCAATGAGCACAGTGTCACCCGGAGGAGCCCGGTTGCGAGGGCGAAGCGCCGCCGAGCAACGCCAGCGGCCGTGGAGGGGGCAGCCGCTCCGGATTCAGGGGGGATGGGGGACAGGGTAATAAACTGGCAGCGTTTTACCTGGGCTAAGTGTGCGTGATCAGTGAGCGCCAGCCGTAGACCCCTCCAGCCTCTCCACTCAGCAGTTCCCCATAACATGCCTCCAGTGCCCTCCCCCCAACCTCCTACCCCCCCCTCAGCCCACCCCATCCACTATTCCTGACCCATCCCTCTCAGTCCCTTCCTGCCCAGCACTAGGCAAGGGGCACCTACCTCCCCCCAGGAACAATGATGCATCCAGGTGTGGGGGGGCAGGGCTCCAGGATCCCCTGGAGAAGGGAGATGTGGGGAGGCCAGCAGCAAAGGGGGGGCTGAGTGCTCAGAGCAGGTGAGGGGATCCCCATGGCCCCTCCTCTGCTCCAACCCAGGGGGAGGCAGCCGCATAGGACAGCTCCCCCTCAACCCCCAACTCACTGCAGAGGAGATGGGGGGGCTCTGCCTGGTCAGCCCCCCCCATCTATGGGGCAAGAATCAGCCAGCAGGCACCATGGATACAAACGTACAGCCTTTATTACAGCCCCTCCCCCCAGCCAGCCAGCAGATGGAGACAGGAGGGTCTCAGCGCACTCCCCCACCCCCTGCACAGGATGGAGAGCTCCGTGCCGTGTGGGGGGGGCTCCCAGCCTGTGCCCCCCAGAACCAGGCTCTATTGGGTGCGCCCAGCTGCCCCCATCCTATAAGCCCAGCCCCCCAAAGCGTACACATATATATATCCCTGGGCTGGTATAGCATCTGCCAACCTGCTTCTCCCCAGAGCCAGCCTCCCTCCCTCTGTGGGGGGGGGGGATGAATCCAGCCTGACCTGGCAGCTCCTGGGGGGTGACAGCCATTGTAGAAAAGACACCCCCCACCTGTAGTGTACTTGAGCTGGAAGCTAAAGGGTTAAGAGCCCCCCAAGCCCACAGAAATGATTCCCCCACCCCCTGGACAGCCACAGCAGCCCCATAGCTGACCCCTTCCCCCCATACCCTGGGGTAGGGGACTTGCCCCCCCAAATTGGCAGGGACCCTCCACCCCACCACCTAGTCCCCCCACATAGGCAGAGGGGTGGCTGGTGGAGGTTCCCAGAGAAGGGCAGAGGCAGCAGTCGCAGCCCCTGGGGTGTTGAGAGCAGAGGCCAGCGGTGGGTGGGGTACCCAGGACAGCACGGTGTGGGGAGAGAGGGGGGCAGCCCCAGCCCCTCAGTCCCGGCGCAGGTTCTTCAGCCGCTCCTCCAGGTCGGCATCAGCATCCGCCAGCGCTGCGGAGGGCTCGGCCTTCTTCCCGGCCGTCACGCTGAGCGAGGCCCCCGTCGAGGGCAGGTCTGTGGGGAGAGGAGGGTTAGCCCGCCCAGAGCACCCCACAGCCCCCATGTCCCCCAATGAGCGAGGCCCCCATCAAGGGAAGGTCTGCGGGGGAGGGGTCAGCCCGCCCGGAGCACCCCACAACCG